CTTTTGTCAATGTTAACACTCCATTTTTACAAAGAAGAATAAGAGTTGCAGTGTTGCCATCACCATGTGCAGGATTAATTTTGGGGAATGAAAAAAGTTTGAAAGAAATGTCTGAGCAAGAAATTTTTCAGTGGGAAAGAGAAAACATCAAAGAAGTGAAAGAAAACAACACAATTACCAGTAATCAAGAGTTTTGCCATAGTGTGAATGCATCAGTAAGCAAGCACATAATTACCAGTGATCAAAATCTTTGCCATAGTGTAAATGCAAGAATACAAGGGAAAGAAAATGATTCTTCCAAGAACAGGGAGCAGTCAATCAGTCATGCAAGAGTAAGTGATAATATCACTACAGAAAAGGAGTATGAAACAAATGAGAACACAGAGGGTAAGAATAAATGTATGAAAGAAGTACAATATGAGAACATTGAGTGTAAAGATAATGGTATGAAATAAGTACTGACTGCAAAAGACATGAATGACAATGCATTGTGTGATAAAAACACACCATCCATACTGAATGAAAGTGAGATGTTGAGGAAAAGTGATCAAAGAAAGAACACACCAAGAACAGTTGCAGATAATAAAAAACTCGAAAATGGTAATTCGTCAAAAGGTGACCACAACTCAAGAGAGAAAAAAACAAGGAAAATCATCATACTGTACAATTAATTGCATGTGGCTGATACAGTACGTATTACTTACCATGGGGCAAATTCTTTTGATAACATGCCAAACACACAATCTAGATTCAATCTGTTTTATTCAAATTATCCAGATCCTACAACTCTTGATGACTATAAGTCCTATTTACAAAGATTGCTACAACTCTCAACTGTTTGTTATTAAAAAACTTTTCATATTCTTAGAAGTGCTACACTACTGACACTGTTGTTGCTGAAACTACTACTTTTACAAATGATGTATTCAAAACACTTTCCACATTCGATGATAACAAATATTTATTGCCACAGTCAAATACACAATTAAACAGAAGATAAAATGGTTACATTCATGTGAAATTACAAAAAACTTTGCCAGTATAAAATCAAAATTGAAAATTTTTATTTTTTATTTTGTCAGGTGACTATGCTAGTATATTATGTTATCAAATGCAGATGTAATTGTTAATGCAAAGCCATGCATTGTATGTGTAAAAAAACTGAACCAAGCGCAACAAAAATATAACATTGTGAACACAGCATTAAAAGCATTAGCATTAGTTAATAGTTTTAAAAAATCAGAAGTTTCTATTGAGAAAAGCTTTCACTATTTTTACAGATAACTTGGGATTAACAGTTATTAAGTGATGCCAACAGTAATCTAAGAGTATATAAATGGGCATTGTTAATATCACAGTTTAAATTTAACATCGAGCACATCAAAGGAACAGACAATCACTTACCAGATATCATGTTATGTTTATAGAATACATTACAACTACTGATACAACTTGTATTAATTGAAATTATTTTATGCAAGGGTATATATTGTGTTATTGAATGAATGTATTATGTGAATTTACAACTTAAAAAATATATATATATTTGGGTTTAATCAGATACAATAAAGTAAACAATTAGAGTTAAAGGCAGACAATATTTGGGTTGAAAATACACCTCACCAGAAAGTATGTTAACATTTATTGGTGTACTAAATTGAATTAGTGTAACATTGAATTTGAATATGTGTGTTAATAAGACATGTTGTAGTTTCTGAAGACAAGGTAATTAACTAAATCTTGTACCTTACATATTTGGGAACAAAACCATACATTGCTGATTTAGCCATTGTTGGGGGCTTTCATGAATGGGAATAGCGAGGGTGGGACTTCATGGGGTCATACTTCGGTTTTAGAACCAAGATTTTGGACTTCCTCACCAATCGGGGCGTGCCTGGAGAGGGTTTCGGTTGTATACCGACTTTAGAGCTGGGTGGGGATACCTATGGAGCCAGATTATTGGTCTTCCGCACTAGAAGGGGAGTGCCTGGAGTGAGGATCCCATTAAGGTATTCACAATCGTGGAAAGACCTAACAGATAGCATTTTAGATTGTTTGAATTGTTAACCCAATAGGGTAAAAGGAACTTGGTTGGAAATGAACTTGTCGAAAATGATTCACTACAGAGGTCTAACATTATCATATCCAGAGAAATGATCACATCTGATTTAATTGAAAATGTAAAACATTTTTTTTTTTTTGGGTGGGGGAGAGTGTAGTGAATCTCATTTTCTCCCAGTTAAGTTATGCCCGACAGATGACGTCAGTAATAAATGTGAGTGGAATATTTTGACTCTAACTGGGACGGCACGGGGATTGTTGAGTCTGAACTTCACGGGAATTATAAAGAAATTATGATAGTCAAACTTTATGTTGAGTATAAAGAGAAATGTTGACTGTCGAACTTCATGCGAAGTATGATGAAACACGACTGTCGTGAAACTGAAGGAGGACGAAATATTCAGGAAAAACGAAGCGGGGATTAGAAGGCTATATAATATCGTGAAAAGGGCTGGGATTCAGTCTCATTTGGACCCAGGAACAGAGTGCATGGACAGCGGTGGATGATGTGCGGATTCAACAGATTTTTTTTTAGTGAATTTGTTCCAACATCCAACTTGGCAAAAAGCTGGCAAGCAACATGCCGGCGGGCCTTGTTAGTTTTTCTCTCAGGACAACTGTTGTGTTTTCGTTCATGATGCTAGTGTAGGGTGATTGTGCTTCCTGCTTAAAGGTAATGATTGACACGTTGATACTTGAGTTATAATGTGTGCCTAGACAGTTGTCTATTTCATGTGCCGGCTGTGTAAGCCGCGAGTGGAAGATTAAAGTGCTGGAACAGTATCGTGTTGTTTTTCCAGTCGTCAATTTTCTGCTCGTCGTGTGATGTCGGTTTGTGAGACAGCAGCAAGCGTGCGATGATGCGAGCCAGATAGAAGATAAAAGAAAGTCATCGCAGTAGTTCTACTACTCCTTGCCAAATACACTCAAATCGGTAGTCTCCACAACATGGACAACCCTGACAAATTATGTACAGGTGTCTGTTGAAAGCGATTCATGCTCGGTCGCGGAGATGCACCTATGTGATGTGCCGTGACAGTGTTCTGACGGCTGTTTCTCTAAGAGACACCGCCATGTGAGGGCCATAGGTTGAAGCACCTCTTGGTGAAAAGAAACTAGACCTCAATTCTGCTACCCACTGACCAGCATTCCCGATAAATCCCTATCACAGCTCCGCACTAGTTAACAAATATAAAGTTACCACAGCGCCTACTGTAGCACTTAAAGACACTCCGTCTGCCAAGGCGCAATATAGCCCCAACATTACTGACCCCAACACACATGGGCAGACACAACAGTCCATTCTAGAAAAAGAAAAACAAATTACAGCATCGCAACTTATAACATTCATTAGACACTTCACCCGAGCTCCTACACAATAAAACATGTTAAAACTGCAACACAACAAGTCCATGCGTCCATGAACAAACACTTGAACTGACTTAATTATACTACCACGCAGTTACACCAGCAACAATAAGTTACACGTGGATCTCACCTCCCTACACAAACCGGGGTGTTTAGAGTCAGCAGTCAATACCAAGCAACTTTTGTTTCACAACTTTAGGTCGCTTGGATATTTACATTCACACCCGGTCAACACAACATGAATGTCACTGTGTACCCATGCTACCTAAGCCGTAGCCTTATTAACTCTGTACACATCAAAGTATTGTAAACAACAGTAATGCTGTACAAGAATGTATGATATATCATTATAGCACACAGCAGTCAGAGGAACTATTACATTGCGTCACACGTAGACCACATGTTTACTAAACAAAAAAGCTATGGAATATCATCAATGTTGCCTCACCCATAAGTAAATAACAAAAAGTAATTAAGATCCCTTTCCAAGCCTTTAGGCGTATTGTGCATATGGGAAGTGCGCCCATATTTTTACAGACCATCAGCACTCTGTGGGTAATGTGGTCAGCATTACGCCGACTGTCTTTACTTTCCCAGGACAGCTCATCCTGGTACCCATTCTAGGCTAGGTCGACCTGGCCTCACCCATAGCTCACATGTAAATAATAAAATCATACGTTAACATTCAGTAAAGCCAGGGAATATTTTAAATGTCACATCACAGAAATCACACGTCAAAAACAAAACTACCGAGCATTTGTAAAATTACATCACACAGAGATCACACGTCAACGACACTACCGAATAACTCGTGTTACATCAGACTGAGATCACACGTCAAAAACACCATGGAACATCCCTAGTGTTTTCCAGTGTTACATCATACAGAGATAACACGTGGAAGATACCACAGAATATCTCCAACGTCACGTCACACAAAGATCATGCTTCAACAACACTATGCGAATCTTCAGTGTTACACATCAAAGAGATCACAGGTCAAAAATACCACATAATTTATTTAGTGTTACATCACGCAGAGATAACACGTCAAAGACACTGCAGAATATGTCTAATTTTACATCATACAGAGGTACCTCGTCAACAAAACAGCACAGGATATTTTTAGTATTACATCACAAAGAGATCACACGTCAATAACATCACTGAATATTATTACTGAACATCATACAGAGATCATGTCTCAACAACACTATGAGAAATCTTCAATGCTACATCACACAGAGACCACAGGACAAAAACTCTACAGAATATCTTTAGTGTTACATTACACAGAGATAACACGTCCCAAGACCCTACAGAATGTGTCTAATTTTACATCAAATAGAGGTACCTCGTCAACAAAACAACAAGGGATTATCCTGTTTACATCACACAGAGATCACATGCCAACAACACCAATTAATATTTTTAATGTTACATCACACAGAGATCACAGCCCAATCACATGTACACACAACAACTATTTTAGGAACGTAACTTTAAGAATCACAGACAGGAATCAATCGATTTGGCATTATAACCATAAAACTAGGTGGTGTTCTTTGATGTCACAACCTGCATTTGTGGCAAAGAGTGGACTGAATGATGAATGCGAGCATTGTGGTCAGAGAGACCACAGCCAGACGACTGTCACATCTGTACAAGCTGGGCGCCACATTGCAGGCATCTCTAGAACACGACATCAAACATCCCGAATAACGGGTGTGCTCAAACTCGAACAAGCCACAGGTGTTGTCAAAGGCGGAGTTACTGCAGGATCTGATGATCATTTCCTCATTTGTCTTCACTGCCAGGACACAAATTAGAACATGTAAGCTGGCCTCACATTTAGCTTTGCTGTGTGTGTGTGTGAGTGAGGCAGCGAGATTGTGAGCGAGTGAGAGAGAGAGAGAGAGAGAGAGAGAGAGAGAGAGAGAGAGAGAGAGAGAGATTATGTGGTGTGTGTTCATACGTGTATTGCAATGTGGCTCTTTCTAGGGTTTGACTGAACTCATCACATTGCTATACTGACGTTCTTAGTTGCATAAAATTACTAGGAATACACCAGACGATAAACACGCCGTTATTTATCTTTATTCACTATTCCAACAGCCGCACTGTCTAGTCGCTCATTTGTGTTCTCGCATGGCTGACTTATGACGACATTTCCCACTATCACACATTGTGTTTCTATCTGCAATTTTTTTTTTTCTGCTCATACATCTTGATCAGACAAACATCTTGTTCCTTGTACCCATATACAGCCGAAACTTGTAGTCAGTAGACATTCATTTCTGCTCTCGAAAAATTACACGTGGTCAGACGGTCTGCTGTTCTCTTGCATTCGACCGCACACATCCAGGTCCAAACTTCAACTGACTTTCTATCCTCTCTGGTTTCACACTTTCCGTTCAAGTCTCACGCTTTCCTCGTACCTCTGTTCACCCACCAGGGGATACTCCTGACATGCTTTCCACACTGTTGTCTTGTTTCACTGGTCCTCTAACCTTACCCCCCCCCCCCCCCACCCCCACCCCCACAGCCATTTCAAACTCTCTGGAATTTCCCCGGGAGTTCAATACATTACATATATGATAGTGTGAGTGCGCGTGTGTGTGTGTGTATGTGTATGAACGTGTGTGAGAGAGAAAGAGCGTGTGTGTGTGTGTGTGTGTGTGATAGAGATAGAAACTGTGTAGGCGTGTGTGTATGTATGTTTGTGTGAGTGAGTGTGTGTGTGAAATAGTGGGCGACAGGTTGTGACACAAATTATATCCACAATCCACGTGCAGGTTCATGACCTCTAGTGTGGAAGGAAAAGAAACAAACCAATCTCCCTAGCTAGAATATTGTGAGGGTCCATCAATTAGGGGTTTTCTTCAGAGTTGGAGAGCATCTGAACAAGAGCATATGAACAGTTGTCAGCACAAAAATAGGCTTGATGTGAGCGCAAAACTCAAGTTCTTTGACAAGACTAAAGTTCACAAGTAGACGAACCTCCAGAACCTTTCGCCGGACTTACCAGTCACTGAACACGAAGACGAAAAAGACATCAATTAAACATACACAAACACACACACACACACACCCGCACACATAGATAGAAAGGAAGGGAGAGGGAGAGAGGTGGGGGATTGGTGTACACAATCTATCACATATTTTAAAACAGTCATGTAGGGAGAGAAAATGGGAGACAGGGTGGGGAGCTGTCAAAGTCAGTGACAGACCAGGAATTATAAATAACATTTCATATCCTCATAATGTGTGTTACAAAAAAGTATCGCACACAGATACTCACAGTTAGTGCCTTTGATTTTGGTACAGTAACGGGCGGGGAAGAGCCCCACCCGTTTGTCTTGTGCCTGTTCACACCTGCAGGACGGGAAGTAGGATATATATAGTTAGGTCATACATCTATTTAGGTGATATATGTCGTTATTTGATACATGTAGTTAGGTGACAATGTTGCCATTTAATAAGTGTACTTAGGTGATACATGTAGTTAGGGATAGATGTAGTTGTTTTATACATGTAGTTAGCTGATACATTTATTTGGAGATACATATAGCTAGGTGATACATGTAGTTAGGTGACAATGTTGTTATTTGATACATGTAGTTAGGTTATACGTGTAGTTAGGGATATATTTTGTTATTTGATACATGTAGTTAGGTGATACACTTTATTTGGAGATATATTTAGCTAGGTGATACCTGTAGTTGGGTGATCGTTCGTCCATCACAAGTGATGAGTACCACTCTTTCTATCATCCGTCATGAAACTGCAATTGATTTTTACGAAAGAAGTGACAAGCGCGATGAAGTGAGGTAGAGTTGGGCAATTTCGTCGACGTTACTCCGTCGCCTGTATCCACCTGAATCCAGTGGCAGGACAAGTCGAGACGGCTGGAGATGAAGGCAGGTGTGGTGGATGATCAAGGTGTTCTACGTGCCCAACCGTGCTATTTGCGCTCCACAGCACGTTGCTGGTATCCGCTATCATGTCCGTTGAACCAAATATTGGCTTCCTCAGTACATTCAGCCGAGTCCAGTCTTTGTTTGCTAGGATGGGCAGATCCGAACTCACCGAAGTCTATTAGACCGGCCTGTCAAAGCCGTTGACCGGGTGGGGGGGGGGGGGGGGGGGTTGCCACTGAGTAAAGTGAAAATGTAGTTAAGATAGTGACAGATATGTTAGAGACATTCAGCTGGCCATCGAGAAGAAGACGAACAAGAATGGAGGGTGGAGGGAGGATTTGTTGAACAGAACTAAAATTTAAAAATATAATTATGCAGTGCAAAATATTGTCTGTGTTAAATATGGCTGTTGTTAAATTATATTTAGCCTGGCTAATATTCACATACTTCCGTGTTGTAATCATTGGATGAAACCCGTGAGTAAACGAAATCTTTTGTATAAAAATACGTATGTAAATGTTTCAGCTAGCAGTACTGGTGTTCCACGCCCTGTTGTATTGGTTTCACACACAATGTTGGAATGGGTTTCCACACATTGATGAACTGGTTTTCCATGAACTGATTCAAAACACATTAATGCACTGGGCTCCACACATTGATGAGCAAGTGTTAACACGCTGATGTTCCACACATTGACATACCGGTGTTCCACACAATGATGCACTGGTGCTCCACACACTGAGGTACCCATGTTCCACACACTGATGTACTGATGTTAAACACACTAATGTACTAGGGTTTCACACACTGATCTTCTGGTATTCCACACACTGATGTAATGGTACTACACACATTTATATACTGGTATTAAACACACTGTAACAAGTGGTGTGTTTATGTTCTCGTTGTCTAGGTAGTGTTCATGTGTGTGTGGTGGATGTTCTTCTCACACGCTCCACGTTACACAACTGGTACAAGCCGACACCTATGTGAGCTTACGAGACATGAGTTTATTGACGTATTCACACTTACAAGAAAAAAGGTCCTGTCGTTGTCCTAGTAAACAGCTCTCGTACACAAATTCACGCAGCCTTCAACGAACAGTCTTCTTCAAGTATTCACTGACCAAAGTTGGCTCCCATGGATTCACGTTGAGGTTCTGGCCATCACACAGACTGGCATGGTCGATCTCGGCTTCACACTTCGTCGTCAGGATCTCCTTTCTCCACAAGCACACTTACGTTGACATTCTCACTTTCAGTCGCACGTCCTCTCACTCCAACACGTCGACACAAACTAAACTTGACAAGAGTCAAGTTTGACTTATACCACGGGTTAGTTTCACGTGACAACACGTGGTGGTCCTCTACTTTCACGTGGCAACCTTGGGTCGCATCATCGTGATACCCGTGATAACTAGTGGTCTTCACCTATCTCCAGATTTTCGTTGAATCCGAGTATCTGGACTATCCCGGTGTTTTAGGTCAGCTTTGGACCTTCCCCCCCAACCATCCTAATCTGGGTGAAAATACTCACTGAACATTTACTGATGTTGTTTCCATTGGATATTCATTTATTTCCCTTTATAGGTGCTAAGGATTTTCTTTCCCCTACCTATAGTGATTTCCCACCAGTCTTTATTACATTTCCAATGCTTATCTCCCTTTACGTTTTCAAAAAATATTATAATGTATTTCCTGATATATTAATCACTTAAATTCCCTGTATACATTTTTAATTGTTGAGTGACATTACATTTTCAATAGCATTTTTCATCGTCATAAATTTGCATATTCAATTCTAAAATATTGTTTACATTTTGTAGCTAATAAATTTTCATATTCAATTCTAAACTATTTCGCCATGTCACCTATGTCTTTGTCCAGTATTCGTCACAATGACATGATATACACAAATTATACATATACATTATACATATATACAAATCATGTGTGTCGATCAACAATTACAAAGCAAATATTCAGACATACATACTAAAATAGATTTATCATTCTATAATCTGGACATTACATCAGGCAGGTGATTGTGGATGCCTTTGATGTGTTGAATTTTAAATTTAAACTGTGCAACCAATAGAGCCCATCTGTACACTCTAGCGTTGTTTGTTGACTCCATGGTCATCAATTTAGTAAGACCTAAATTGTCAGTTAAGATTGTGAACTCTTTACCCAACAAATACTTTTGAAATTTCTTTAGACTCAGACTAATGATAATGCTTCTTTCTCAAATGTGCTGTACTTCTGCTGTGTGGATGTTAATTTTTTGTGACCAATATAAAATTTGAAACGAATATCTGCATCTGTAAAATATTCATTTAGATCTGCAATAGTTTGATGATTGGCATCACATATTTTAAAATACTGTTTCAAAATGTTGACATGATTTATTTTACAACATAGATCCTAATTCTGCAATTTATCAGTAAAAAGTACTTTTTGTACTAGATAAATGCTGCAAGGTGATATCCACATATTCATGAAACATTAATATAAACCAAAATTCATTTTATTAAAATTCATGACAAATTAAAACTTTTTTCAACAATTCAAAGTTTCAGAATGAGGAAAGTGTTTGAAATAGACCTGATCGAAAAGTAATAGTTTCAGAAGCACTAATGCTAATAGTGTACCACATTTCAGAATTTGACAAATTTCTGTAGAGATATATAATTTCGAGATGAAAAAGCCTCTGTGAACAGGATAGATAATTACTAAAAGTTGTAGATCATGAATTATGTTGATAGTATAGAATAGTTGTAAATTCATTTCACCTGTTACAAATAGAAATTGGCATAAAATGAACAATAAGTGTTGCAGTAACCACATATACTTGACTGTATTTTGTGAGCGGTTATCTGGATGTGTTCGACTTGGGTCTCTTGGGTCGTGATTACCTTTGGTTGCCCAACAAACTGTTCTAGCTCTTTTTGTTTCCCTTTGCGGTTCCAAAAACCTGTAAGACTTTTGACTGCAAGTACATTGAATAAAATTGTTATTTTGACACCCATGAGTCAAGTGGTTTAAATTAATCTTCGTTTTTGTTTGAATTTGATCACCACTTTCACTTCTAATCTTCTGTTCTTCCATGTTCCGCATCTTCATTTTAAAATACTTGTTTTTCTGTTTTTTTTTTATGTACATGGTCTTGAATACTGGATTTGGGATTTGGAGTCACATCATTTACTCCTTTGCGCTCATTCCTTTGTTTTTCTTTCATTTCTTCCACAGTGGATGCGGGGTTTAGAGTCACATCATTCACTGTTTTGCTTTCATTCCCATGATTTTCTTTCATTACATTCACCGAGGATGTAGGGTTTGAAGACAGCTCATTCACTCTTTCATTATGTATACTGTCAGAGGCCAGTTCGGAATCATGAAGTAAGAATCGTGAATCATCACCCTTGTACCAGTTGACTCCCAGCGCAAACTCAGTGTGTGAACGTACAGCTCGTTCACGCAATAAGCCGTGCCCAGTTTAGAGGTCAGGTCGAGTTCACTCAGCCGACACGGAGTGCTGCGGATTTTGCTATGAACTCGGGGGAAATACAAAAGGCTTGGTCCAAGCGGGTTTAGGGGACTTGTGAGCGGACAGTTGTGGAGGACGGTTGTGCTCTTGTCGACAGAGAGAAACAGGACAACAGTTTAACGACGAGGTAACGGTTAGGTTAGTGACGGTTAGGTACAAATAGGATATTCGTATTTAGTGTCTGTGATAGGCCGTATTTGTATTTATTGTTGTCGGCTAGATGGTAGAGAGAGTTAAGGTCTTTGTGTAGTAGATATTACAGGTAGTATTTGTTTAAGCAGTTAATCATAGGTGACGCGCCTGGTAATGGCGATTATACTGCCCGGGCGCGCTTAGGCCATACACTTCCCGTGTATCGCTGAAGTCCCGTTTGGCAATCGACGGCGGATTGATTAGCACTGAGACACTGTTAGCTAAGAGTCGTGCTCCCCTGGATCCATGGGAGCTGACCTGGGGTGATTAGTGAGTGTAAAGCTGTTATCGCCAAGGCAGTTTTGGATGGGAGCTGCTTAGCCCAGTTGAAGTGTTGTACGTCTAATGTTAATTGTAAATTAAAGATAATGGTTGTACTCAGCCGGAGTGTCGCCTTAAGTGTGTTTGGGTAGTAGAGTCTGTCAGCTGGCCTTCCTAGCGAGCCATATAAAATAAGTAGAGTAGTTTAGGACCCTGACAGATAAATGGGGAGCTTTCGTCCTTAGGATTTGTATCTGGGATAGCGACAGATTAGATACTGACAATTTGTCTACACTATTAGCTGTTGTGTGATTTGTTGCGTTTATAGTCGTTTCTTCGTGATCGTTTATTACGTTGTGTCGCTTATACTGATTGTGTTAGGAACATGTGGCGTCTCGACGAGTAGGATAGCGGACAAAGACAGTGTATGCAAGTATTGTGGTATAATTGCACGTG